TATATATTATATTACACATATATAGGGCTACTATTATATATAGGGCTTATTTGTACTAGGCCTTCATAAACTACTTAAAGTTGAATCGGAAGTCCAGTCATTGAAGAATATTTTTGCGTGTAATAAATAATTCGCAAGGGTATGCAAATAAAACTGGATCATATTATAATGATAGTACTTACGTATACTAGGCGTACATAAACTACTTAAAGTTAAATCGGAAGTGAAGTCATTGATGAATATCCGGTGTAATGCATTTTAGGCACTAAAATGATTATAATAGTGCTTACTATATTATATACCAAGCGTGCATAAACTACTTGTAGTTAAATCCGAAATCAGACAATTGTTTAATAAAAATTTAAAAGATATTATAACAGCACTTATTTTGTACCAGGCGTCCATAAACTGCTTGAAGTTAAATCCGAAGTTAGTATTTAAAGAATGTTAACTGTGGTAACGAAGAGATATTATTATGATAGTGCTTACATATACTAGGTGTGCATCATGTGCTTCTTCATTATTCCATTTATTTGGGGTACAACAAAAACATATCTCTTCCATTCATCTCAGTTCGCAGACATCTCTCTTACCATAACTAGGCGTACATAAATTACTTTAAATCGGAAATTTAGTCATTGGGTTGCAAATGTGTCCCATAAAGTGCTTACTTATACCAGGCGTGCATAAACATCTTGAAGGTAAATCTGAAGATAGTCATTAAAGATTTCATGACACTATATGTAATGAAAGGATAGATAGTGCCTGCTTATACTAGGCATCCATAAAGTACTTACATTTAAATATTAAGTCATTTAAGAATATCCCGGTGTAGTGTATGTCCATAGAAATTATTATGATAGTGCTTACTTATACCAGGCGTGAATAAAGTACTTGGGAGTTAAATTGGAATTCAGGTATTTTAGAAATACAAAATATGTATTATGATAGTACTTATTTGTACCAGGCGTCCATAAACTACTGGAAGTTAAATTGAAAGTCCAGTCATAGAAGAATATCCGCTCATAGAAATGAAGCGCTTACTTATACCAGGAGTGCATAAATTACTTAGTAGAGTTAAACCTACCGCCCGGTTCAGGTATTGTAAAATAAATATATATACATATATAAAAAGTACATCTCATTTGTACCAGGCGTCCATGAACTACTTGAAGTTAAATCGGAAGTCCAATCATTGAAGAAAATATATCCGTAGAAATATTTTTTATCCATATGTAAAGTTACGTTTACGTTGCAATGCTAGTTGACAGCGTCAAATGGCGTCAATATAATCGCATTATTGACAGATGACGTAATTTTAACTACGTTACATACGAAAATCGTTGCGTTTGAACTTAGATAATTAACCCACCGCGGTATATAATGGAAAGGTGCCCATAGAAATGATTATGATAGTACTTATTTGTACTAGGAGTTAATAAACTACTTGGAGTTAAATCGGAAATCGCTCACGAGCGTGTGGCGCAACAGTCGCTATTAAGTTTTACAGAATACCTATGTACAATCTCACAGCAATATATCTACAGCTACAGAATAGATCTACAGCTGACCTTTACAGCTTCTCCGGTCGAAAATGTAGTGACTGAAGAGGGCACTCTAAACCAGCATAAAGACTTATGGAGCGGCTGAAGGCCAACTCCCGCCTGACGGGTATGACTTTACTCTGAGGGCATCGCTGGGGGTTCGAACTTTGACTCAGGCCGTCGTAATTTCAATCCCCAGTTGCCTGTTAAATAGGAAAAAAATACAACATATTTCAAAGCAATTTTTTATTTTTCTGGTCAAATTTTATAAGAAATATAATGTTTATAATACTTTCCATTATTAGCGGTATGAAAACAAAAACAAAACAAGTCTATTCTTTGCCGAAATCGAAGAAATAAAGTTTGTATTTGGAACAATATTTATTTTTCTTTTTTTGGATTTGGAATAATAATATGAGTTTCAAATATAACCTTCTTACTTACAAAATGGCGGGAAATATTCGGTGACTAATTAAAATGCATTTTTTAAAGTACATATATATCGTTTTATTTTGAGCGTTTATAAGTAAGGAGGTTAGTTTTCAGTTAACATTATATTAACACTTAATTTCGATAAAGGAACATTTTTAAGTACAAGAAATATGTTTTATCTACGTATTAATATGTAAAAATAAACATATTTTATGAACTATTTCACTTATTTATAAGTAGTGTCAGTTTCGAACTGAATGTCTACGCACGATACAACTTGTCATCCGATAAGTTGGGCGATATGTTGGGTATCTGACAAATGTTGGGAAGGCCTCTGGACTACAATGTTGACCCCGACCCTACAGATCATATAACAAATTGTATAGTCTGTAGACACTTTAATAATATAATATAACTAATAACTAACATATATTATTTACTGATACGTTTGTTTTATATCCAGTATTTTCATATGCGTAACATTTTCTGTTTTTCGGAGGAGCTTGGCTGGCTACTTTAGTAGTCTCTGCTCTACACGCAAAATTAGAGCCTAAGTGTGGAGAATAGAGTCCATATTACATTTACATGCGTAACATTTCCAGAATAATCCATATGAATTATACAATACAGGATGAAATTTACAAATAGATGTACTTAAAATTAAAAATGTACACAGAATGTAATTTCTACAACCTATCAGTTTAATACGTTGATTTACTCGACGAAGTTTTATTTTTTTAATGTAATTGTAATGGCAAAAACCTGACGGCCCGCCTGATGGTAAGTGGTAACCATCACCTATATACATGAACAGCACTACTGACATCTCGTTATCATGTGACACACGCGATACCACTCAGGAGTTGCCATTCCAGAGGACAAAAATGTCACGCCTCGTATCTTGGACCTTTTTTTCGGACTACTCTAATGCTGTTGGTCGCAGCTGGCCTTTACAGCTTTACCGGACGATAGGGGGCGAGTGCAGATGGCACTACAAACCAAAGGACGCCTGACGGATATGACTTTAGCCTAAGGGCACCGCTAAGGGTTCGAACCTCGGCTCATGCCGTCGTAATTTCCATCCCCGTTTGAATTGGACGGGGGATCGATCGGAGGGGTCCTGTTGCTGTCGATAATTATTTCTATATCATTTAATCCGGTATATAATGATTATTATGAGTACATAATTAATATTAAATAATTTAAACTTCACCCTGTATCCTAAACGAAGTAGAATCGACCAAAAATAAATGCCATTTTAAAATCATATTTTAATAATAACTGCATTATACAACTGTATTATTTATTAATTAAACCAACATGTTTTGGGGCCACCCGAATTATCCCCCTCCACCTCTCCCCAACTCTACCCTATTCACAGCTGGTAACATTTTAATAATTAAAAGTTCATGTATTAATAAAAAAAATGTGACTTCCCCCAAAAAATAGGATAGGATTCATATTTTTTACACAAGTATGTATCTTTGTGTCGCCTAAAAACCCCTTGTTTTACAATGTCACACTTTGTCTATCTTGCCACTCGTAAAAACCAATACAATGTCACACTTTATCTACCAACGGGTGAAGTAAGTATAGATGGCCCCTTAGATACTGTTTAAGTACTACAGTTTAAGTAATGATAAACAATTTCACTGTAAAGTTAGCTAAGTAACTTGTAAACTTATAATTAAGTAACATTTGTAAGTTCAACACTGGACGTCATTTTATCAAGATAAAATGACTGAGACACTTAAAGACTGCATTATTACTTAAATGATAATACGTAACTTAAATGACAGAATCGAAAGGGGTCATATATGTATTATGTTACACGTCACAGAAGGGGATTGACCATCACCCCATGTCACACAGTATCACTCACACATGATACTGTGACAAGGATTTAGAGGAGATATAATTTATATTGCACTTTAATTTTAATAATAATAATTTGAAACAGCTGTTTGAATAATTTAATCATTTCCAGTTTTGAAATACGTGACGTCACACTAGGGAGATGGCTTATGATAAGAACGAGAGGAGTTCCTCTCGTCCTTATTATAAGTTAGTTGGACCACTGAGTAGAGGTCAAAGAGGCCTGCTCTCGTCCTTGTCACACTGGACTTGTCAGTTGTCAATGTGAACTGGTCACATGTAGAGTAGTTAAAAAAATCAAATATAATGAGATACGTGTACCGTAATACATGGACAGCCCCACATTTGTTATGCAGTTAAGTAATTGTTACATTTTAAGTGAAATACTATGTATTAGGGAAAATTATGGAAAATATAACCTTAGAATTCGAGTTAACATAGTAACTTTTGAATGATTTTACTTTAGAGTTTGTTTCATGCATTGATAAAGTCTAAGAATCTGATTAAGGGTTAAATTTTGACAATAAATCTGTACAAAATTAGGCCTAAATTTAAACTTCAAGCGCAAAAATAGACGAGGTATTATTAGTAATGAAGAGTACTGGTCTATAAATAATCATAAAATTTACTATTTGTTTCATTACAATCAGTTTATAAACAAAAAAATACGCGCATGTATAGATTTACTAGTAATAACTAAGTTTCATTTTACAATACCACATATCAATTGTAAGATTTCGAAAATTACAAGATTGTAAAAACTAGATATATTGTTTTCCTTACATTTGTTTCCATTACTGATATATATAACCTCAAAATTAATCATCACCAGTTCCATTGGCACCACTGATCACTGTTCACCTCTGATCAACAGTCACTATGCTTTTATCTGATCACAGCTAACATTGTTCACTTCTGATCATGATATTACTTAATATATCACTAACATAGTATTTCTTCACTTTTGATCACACATTCACTGTTCATTTATGATCAAATTTTTATCCAACCGTCGCATATATACATGAACAGCATTACGGATATCACGTTATCATGTAACACCCGTGATACCAGTCATGCGTTAACCATACTTGAGGACTAAGATGTCATGTCCGCATCTTGTAGAATACAAGAACTCACCTTCACAGCTTGAAAAACAAGCTGCTTGGCGGCTCAAATAGCTGAGACAGAGGTACCCACGCAAACATCTTCATACACTGCGGATCGTGTAACACTTAACTTTAATCACTTCTGATCACAGGCCTAGCACTGTTCACTGTTGATGATGTAATTACTTAATCATTTCTGAGCACTGTTCACTTGTGAAGTACACTAACCGAACAAGTTCTTCAAGTCATGCTCGTACATCGCTATGACCAGCATTATGCCGATGCCGCTGGCCAGTCCCATGAGCTGCAGGATGCACTGGCAGAGAGTACCTTCATTGCTGTGGGACGTGCTTAACTCTGGCATCTGCAATGTAATTTTTTTTTTAATTAGTAGTTTGCTTAACATAATTTATTTATTTCTTGTATGCTATTTCATCGCAAGAAGAACGAGAAAGAAATTTACGTGTTGTTCTTTTAAATAATTGTTGTAACTTTATATTTTTAGAATCAAATGTGTGAATACAAACTAGAAAGAAACAAGGAAGTGGTACAAGGTGTAAGTGAGTGACCGTGGTGATACGAGAGAGGAACACAACTGACCATGTCAGCGTAAGTGAGGGTGGTGATACGAGAGAGGGATACAACTGACCATGTCAGTATAAGTGATGGTGGTGATACGAGGGAGACAACTGACCATGTCAGTATAAGCGACGGTGGTGTTACGAGGGAGACAAATGACCATGTCAGTGTAAATGAGAGTGGTGATACGAAAGAGGGACACAACTGATGTCAGTGTAAGTGATGGTGATGATACGAGAGAGGGATACAACTGACCATGTCGACGAGTGCGATGTAGAGGAAGGTCCCGGCCGCCACCGCGAACAGCCAGCGCGTGGCTGCGGGCGTGTCCCCGGCCAGCACGCCGCACACCATGCCGGCCAGGCACAGCGCCGACGACAGCACGTTATAACACACCGCGCGCTTCACAGACATGCCAGCCTTCAGTAGCACCGCGAAATCTCCTGCCACACAATACAAATATACATACATATAATAATAATATGCACTGACAATATAATGTTGTAACAGACAGTCCGTCTTACGGACGTTACCGCTTTGAGTAGCACCTCAAAATCTTTTATAACACTACACTTATATTATACCCTAACAATATAACTTTGTAACACACGGGCGGTGTGTGATATTGTCAGCGTATCTACATACAGCAGTCTTACAGACATGCTCTTTTTCAGTAGCACCGTAAAGTCTCCTGCCGCACAAAACAAATACAAGTGAAAACATCTGTAACGTCTTTAATACATACCTATAAAACAACTAAACAAATAGTAGCAAATGTTTGCACCGTGCGAGAAATCAAACTCGTCTATCATCGTCAACTTGTATCCGTCAACTCATATATCATTAGTTGTACGTACGTCCAGCTACGTACGCTACGTGTAAAGGTAAAATTTTAAGGCGTGAATCTTTTATACGGAGAAGATGCAGACAAAAACTACATGGGCCGCATGTCGGTGGACCACAAACGACTTAAAATTGCTATTATACACAATTGCGCACACTGTACGCATGAATGAATGTGTCGTGTAAAATTCAAATTAAAAAGTAATTTATTCATGTAGGACAATTTAGCCCCTTATGAACATAAATTTTTTAATTTATAATTTTTTCCCTACCTACAGTTCAGTATATAGATTCAATTAGAATAGAATAGAATAGAAAATCATTTATTCAAATAAACTTACATTGAAGCACTTTTGAATAGTCATCACATTTTTTTTAATCTACCGCTCATTCGGAAAGCTGTTTCATCACAAGAAGAACGAGCAAGAAACTTGTGTGTTGCTCTTTTAAATAATTTTATTCTTATTTTACAATTTAAGTTTAAGTGTGTGAATACAAACTACCGATTGGCACTAATTCATTAAAAATCATAATCATTGAGAAGAACTGGCAAGAAATACAATTAAATTTCTTTTATTTTTTTTAAACCAGTTTATTTACATAGGTGTTTATGTCTAACATTATATGAAAATCAGATCGGAGTCCTTTTTAAAACAAATTAGTCAACTCACCCAATTCATGTGGTAACTCGTGGCAGAGTACTGCAATAGCCGTAGAGAAGCCCCCGGCTAAATTTGATGCGAATGCTGCGCCTGAAAGCGATTTTTTTATACATACAAATAAAAAAAATTAAGTATACATACATTCATATGCACTTAGTGAAAAGCTGCTTATCTTGAAGTACTTACCAACATTTCAGATTAACAGCTTTGCACCAAATGTATATGAAAGTATAGAGAGAAATCAAGAGAAATTATTTTAAAAATGTATGTTGTGGACCTATTTTGAAGGAACTTTCATTTACAGATATTTCTTTTTTTCAAGTGGCTCCACTGAAAATCAGCGCTGTAGTGATACGCTACGGCACCAGCAGAGTGGAAGCCTTTTCAGCATAGCGAAATATTAGTTTTTAAGTTTTCTTTTTTTACTCTGTACTATGATGCTGAATAAATGATTATTATTATTAGATACCTAATGTTATAAAGAATAACTTAGACTACTTTCATATTAGAAATTAAAAATGAAAAATTTTAAATGTTTGTACAGTGCAAAGAATAGAACCCGCGAACGTCGAAAGGCGGTATGCTAAACCTCTAGACAACCGGGCCATCATTTTGTTCTTGTAACACGTGTTCCATTTTACACATTTTAAAACTGTATAGTACATACCTATGGCCATTCCGTCGGTGAAGTTGTGAAGTCCATCGCCCATGATGACCATCCACGCTACGGACGACATGGAAGATGGGGGAGCGTGCACGTGACCGTGCGCGTGCGAATGACCGTGGTGCGCTCGAGAGTGTTCCCTGCAAACGATACATTTCAAATCATCACTATCATCATCATCACTATCATCATCATCACTATCATCATCATCACTATCATCATCATCACTATCATCATCACCATCATCAGTCACCACTATCATCATCATAATTATTAATATGCTGTTCATGTATACAGGCGACGATTATTACTTACTATCAGGTTGCCTGTCAACTTGCTTGTAATGGCATACAAGCTAACAGAATTATTAAGATAGTTATATAAAAAATCAGCATCATCAACATCATCATCATCATTCTTATCATCAACACTTAATCCTGACGAAAGTTAGCTTTATAAGCTGTGCTTTGATTTGAAGCGTGAGATATGGTAGTAACTTTTTTTTACTATTTCAGTTACCAAATTTTTAAAGAGCAAGAGCTCCACATTTTTATATGTATGTCATCTATGGACAGAGGTGACATATAAAAATTTGATGCATAATATGGTAGTAACTTCTTTTTTTACTATTTCAGGTCATAGGTGACCTATAAAGAATACAGTTCAATAATCTCCTTTTCGAAGTCAGTTAAAAATTGGCTGCATTCAGAACGCCATACAGTTTTCCTACATTATACATTATAAATTTTGCAGCGATATTTATAGTCATTTTTATGGGCATTAAGATCCCACGTTGGGCGCCAGTAGCATCAATAAAACTTACATAATGCGATATAAAATGCCATTGGACGGTATAACTGTTTAGCTTGATGGTCGCGAGTTCGATTCCTTGCACGATACTAACATTTATATTCAGCACAATTATTGTTTATATCGGTCTGGGTGGTTTCTATGGATATTATGTATGTATTTAGAAAAAAAAGTATTCATATCAGTTGTCTATTACCCACAACACAAGCTCTACTTATCCTGGGACAAGATGTTAGGAGTGGAATTGGAAAAAACAAAATCGATTTTTATTTCGGCGCAACAATAGATACCGTCATGACTACCGGAAGGGGTAGTCAGAGGTGTTTTTTTTTTTAATTTTCTCAATAATCTACGTCGTTGTAAACACATTTCGCGTATATTTGAATCGACATGGCAGAGACAAGCTTACCGACGTCTCTCGGATTCATTTTTGTCTTGATATCGTAATATTCATTGTAGAGTCAGTCAGAAATATATGACTGCTAACTGTTGCGGCGCTGATATTTTAATAGTATTAATCATCGGATACTGCTATGAACGGGACCATAGGCAGTACATAATGCTCTATGATACCCAATGCATTTTCATTAGTCACATTTGAATTACTAGTATCTATGAATAGAATTGTTACTCACCTCAATATAACAGTGTAACTATCGCCATCCTTCAAATCTTTAGCGCCTTCTTCCTTATGCTTGATATTATTCATCTCAACAACCGCTGGAGTTGGTTCAGCTTTCAACAACCAATCTTTAGCTGTTGGTTCACTTTCTTTCGCCTCTGAATTGAGAGCATTCGACGAGACAACACTCACAGAATTATTATGATTCTTCGCTTTAGGACTTGGCGGTATCTGGCCATCTCTTAAATGATGATCGTCATGCGTATCCGTGTCGATTTCATCATAACAATACGGATATCCGGAATATTTGTGTTTGCACGTCATCGTTGTGGGGTCTCCCTTGTCATCTCGTTTGAAGATCTTCATTAGAGAGTTCGAGGTTGAATTCGTTATTGGTGCTTTAGAGCCGCCTGAACACCCACCTGTCGTATCATCCTTCAATACTCGCACTCTTGACGGCAATTTGTCGTCTTCCAACTTCTGTCTTCGTTTCCTCCACTCTACTACAACTGTTAGGCCTTTTTCCATGAAATAGAAGAATACCACACCCAACATAGCTGCTAAGCCTTTCCACATGCCATCATCATGTGAATGAACTGCTAATGCAGAATCGTCATGCTCAATTGGACTCATTGCATGAGGCATTAGATGCAATAATGCATCACCACATAACGTACCGACTGCTAATGCAACTAGGAATTGTAATAGGTGGTTGTAGTAGGTCTTATGCATGATAGGTATCACGGCTACTCCCAGTAGACCACAAGCACTAATGGCTGCTATACTTAATGAAGAATATAACCAAACAGCGTACATATTCTTGCCGTCTGCTTCGTCTGCATGCTTTAATTCTCTACCATCTACCCTTCTGCTGGGTAGATTCTTTTCTTTAACACACCCTAATTGTTCTATAGACGTGTTCGCGAGTTTTTGGTATAAAAGTATAGGGCATATGGTTTGTAGAGTGTCTTTTGATAAGACTTGGTCTGTGTTGTGATCATCGTGTGCGTGTTCATGATCATGATCGTGGGGTTTTAACCTTGTGTTCACTGTTGTGATGAGCTCAGCACTGCTGACACACTGGAATTGAAAATGTTGTGTAAATTATAATTATAAAACAACTGCATATTATCTTCAGGAGGGCAATGGTGTCTGAGATACAAGCTTAGCCTAGTTTAAACACTACTTTTACTTTACTACGATTATAAAATCGGCAGCAATGTCTGTAAGTTATATTCCAGTTACTGATTAAGAAATTTATGTTCAAAGGTAATTTTAGTTTTTTAAATACTCACTAAATGACTGTTATAAATTTTATTAATTTTAAAATTTTTATTAATGTTTAAAATTAAATGACCAAACAGGACAATTACCAATTTGCATCAGATGAAATAAAATTATAGAATAAAACTTCCTTTTTTTTAAGTAACATTCACGACTCAAATTTAATTATCATAGATAAAAAAAGAATCACTTACATTAATAACATCCTGTTTAGCACCAACTTGACCGATATAACCTATATTGTCTGTGGTTTCAGATCCTCCTTCTATCAGCTTATGTAAGTCTAACTTATCCAACATCCTGTTGAACCCTGTCAAATTCATGGTCATGCTCTGAGCATCACCGTACAGTCTGAAAATCTGCTCTACGTAATACGTATTAGGGTTTGAATTCTTCAATTCTCTTTTTGATCTGTCTCGATGTCGAATCTTTTGGAGTTTCTGATGATATCTAGCTTTTGAATCTATTCTTCTTTTTTCTTCTAAATCGACTATAGTGTGTTCCGCGTCTATGCTTGGATCGTAGGTTAGGATCCCATTATTTTGTATGTCTATGTGTGAGCCACATGTATGAGCCGCACAGAGCAGGCAGAACATACATACAGTTACTAAATGTCGCGACATTTTGATCTTAAACTAGTTAGACTTATGTTTAACTATGTTCCATCCGGTGGACCGTTCTGTGCGATGATGTCTTGCTTAACCTGCGGACAAAAAATGAAATACTGTTATCACTTCCGGTTTTTCGCAAGCAATTGGGCACAAAATGGCGCCCTATTAAAATTTCTAAAATATAAGTAGCTTAAGTTACTTCTTATAACACAAGCTCCCTGCGAATGGAAATCCCGTCGAAATCAATCCAACAGTTTCAAACATTAGCAACAAACAGACAGATAACAATTTTTTTAATGAATTTTGTTGATGTAAGTACCGTAGTTTCATCAAGTTAGCTCGGGACTAGATAGCGCTGTGTTAATTGTAAGAGATATTATTAATATTATTATTTGATTAAATTATTTAAGCATCATTTTAAACAAATCTGAGCAAAAGAGGAGACATCTATAAAAGACATATCATCCATCACCTCCGATCGGTTCCCCGTCCAATTCAAACGGGGATCGAAATTACTATGGCCTGAGCCGAGGTTCGAACCCCTAGCGGTACCCTAAGACTTTATGCTCCACTTTTTGGTCATTCTTCTTGTGATGAGTTTGCGCTCCGAATGAGTGGTAGAATAAAAAATATGACCATTCAAAAGTGCTTGTACTGAGTTTATTTGAATAAAGAATATTTCTATTTCTAAAGACAGTACCGTGTAAAATCATCTTGTTTCGCCTATGATTTCAATGTCTTGTAAAGATAACTAGCTTATCTAATGGGCTATTAAGTGATAATTACAAGGCTGTAACGACAATGTGGGTACACCTGTACATACAGCGTCGGTGTTGCGAATTGTATTATAGATACGGATGTCACGAGTTTAGGAGTCTACAAGACATACAGGCAGATAGGTTATATGGATGATATTTATTTTTTTCGGACTACACTAATGCTGTTGTCCGCAGCTGGCCTTTACAGCTTCACCGGACGATAATGGGCGAGTGCAGATGGTACTTCAAACCAAAGAAAGGACTTATAGAACGGCTGAAGGCTAACTCCCGCCTGACGGATATGACTTTAGTCTGAGGCCACCGCTAGGGGTTCGGACCTCGGTTTAAAAACAGTATCATTTTCGAGTTTACGTCGTCGTCGAAAAGACTATTTCTTCGTATAAACAACTGATAAATGTAAACAAACGAAAATCTCGTTTACCAATTGTTAAAAATCGCCCTTTTAATATTATTTCAATAGTATAGTTTAATAATAATAATCTCAGGACAATTCACACAGCTTATGGAGCGGCTGAAGGCCAACTCCCGCCTGACGGATATGACTTTAGTCTGAGGGCACCGCTAGAGGTTCGATCCTGTTTGAAATGAACGGCAAATCGGAGAGGACTGACGTAAGAGATTTTATGCTACTATTCCGCAGTGATTTACGTCACATCCTTCTCATCTTTTAATATCATTTAAATTATCATATCCTCATATATTATCATTTAAATTGTACACATTGCTCTGAAGATGGGCCCAAATATATGCAACACAGTTTTTTTATGTAGTTGTTTTACGTTTAACATGTTATTGGTTTGAATAAATTCTTTAAGCCTGCGATCTGTGATGACGCTATACGTCATAAATATATGGTATAGCCAAGTTTGAACTCACGATCTTTTGGGTGTAAGTCGGGTAGTGATCCACCACGTCAATGTCCACGACGCTTTATACTCCACTTTTTGTTAGTTCATATTTGTATGAACGCTGACCTTGTTCTAAATATCTATGGTCTATTGGAGACGTATTAACGGATATGTTCCACTACATGCCGAGCAATAGATCCCCTTTAAAAAGAATTTCGAGAGAAATCACTATAGCTATTGCGCCGCGAGAGGCATACTATTTTTCACCGCGACAATCCTATAACGACAAGACGGTTTAAGACCCTACAGTTCTCGCTCCGTCGCTACCTCTCTCTGACATAAACACACGACACCGTCCTCGGCAACGAGGACGTCGGCCCTAACCACAACCTTAATGTCAGAGTCGTTAATTCTTAGTGTATGGGCTAACTGGCCTGATTTTACGCTCATCCTATCATCAACTGGTGCCCTGCTAGTGTACCTTTAGCGCTGGCGGATGCATCTGACGGCGCCGAGGCGTCTATACCGGCACATCTCTCCTATTGATTCTTTTCCCGTTCCATAGAGAATCGAAATTATAATGGTCGAGTAAAAAGAAGGATGAATTGAAATAGATCGTAAGATAAAATTCTTTATTCAAATAAACTTTCAATAGTCATCACCTATTTTTTTTAATCTACCTCTCGTTCGAAAAGCTGTTTCATCACAAAAAGAATGAACAGGAATCTTGCGTGTTGCTCTTTTTAATATTATTTTTTAAATAGAATAGAATAGAAATTCCTTTAATCAAATAAATTTACATTGAAACACTTTTAAATAGTAATTCTTTTAATCTACCGCTTATTCGGAAAGCTGTCTCATCACAAGAAGAACGAGCAAGAAACTTACATGTTGCTCTTTTTAATAATTTGTTTGTAGCTTTACATTATTAAGCTGTATTGTCTGAATACAAACTACCAGTTGTAAGTGGAATGGATTGGTCTCGTAGGCTCAATCCGTCACGGTCGAACTGTCGCCGATGACCAATCGATTCGACTCGACGCTGATTGTAATCGGTAAATCCGACTCGATGTTTGTGTGAATTACTGTATCGATTGTTCTATTCATTTATTTATTATTTAAGAGCGACGCTTTTGTCGGAGTTCTTGGCACTTTCCATGATCTACCATTATACTCTTTAAACGTTGATACGACACGACTCCAATTTTGTTTTTAATTTGATCGATCTTGGTGTTCCTCTCCCCTCTTTCCTTCTATCTTTCCCTCAATAATAACTTTCATAAATTCATCGTGCCGTATCAAGTGTCCTAAGATTTTCCATTCTTCTATTACGTTACCAATATTATTGAGACAGTTCACTTATCTTCTGACCTGAATCTATCACCTTAACTGGTGGTTTTTTATGTTTTTATTTGTACTCCGATGGTAGCAATCAAGCATCAACCATCTGATGGTAAACGCTTACCGTAGCTTATAGATGCCTGAAACACTAGGGGTGTTACGTGCTTGCCGACCCATAAGAAACCATAAACCAACCTATCTTAAAAGTGCTTAATGAAGCATATTTCAATTAAGGATTTTCTATTCTATTCTAAGAACCATCTCGTTTCACGTCAGTTTATAAAACCTATTAAAAATCTATCCATTCTTTAGAAGATACAATGCAGATATCCACCCCTCTTTTTGCGTCGAAGGTTAAAAATGAAGATTCATAATTGTTTCGGACTATACTAATGCTGTTGGCCGCAGCTGCCCTCTACAGCTTCATCGGACGATAGGGGCGAGTGCAGATGACTCTCCAAACCAAAGAAGAAGAAAAACATTTATTGACAACCATTATTGATAGGGGAGAAATGAGATTGTTAGTAATGTGGACTAATGAACCCATTACTAGCAATGTACCATGTCAGGTTGACCTCCACGCGGATTCTCCTGGAAACCATTGTGATAAATTCTTGGTGAATTTGTCACGATGGGCTAACTGACCTGACCTCATTTCATCTTACCATCCTCCACTGGAGCCCCGCCAGCGTAAAACGTTAGCGCAGGCGGGTGCACCATTCCATTATCATCCACAAAAAAAAAAACCATTACTGATATAAAAATACATTTACACATTTGACAAAGGTAGATTTTACATATGTATCTATATACCTATGCACACACACACATATACATATATACATATACATACACAAAGAAAGGACTTATGGAGCAGCTGAAGGTCAACTCCCATCTGATGTACACAACTTAGTCTGAAGACACCGCTAGGGGTTCGAACTTCGGCTCAGGCCGTCGTAATTTCGATCCCCGTTTGAATTGGACGGGGGATCGATCGAAGGGGAGATTCACAATGAAATCTTGTATATTTACACGCAGGTGTCTAGTTCAGGGGGCCATTTCAATATGACGTAGTAGGCCATAACCTTGTGCTGTGACGTCACAGTCCCGCACGTGCTCACCTGCCCCCCTACCATGAAATTACAAACGATACAAAAAAATCTGTAATTTTTTTATGGATGATGGAATGTTTCACCCGCCTGCGTTAACGGTTTACGCTGGCGGGGCACCAGTGGAGGATGATAAGATGAACATATGTCAGGTCAGTTACCACATCGTGATTTTCACCAGGAATTTATCACTATGGTTTCCAGAGGGAACCGCGAGGTCAATCTGACATTTGCTAGCAATGGGGTCATCAATCCACATTACTATCAAACCCCCCCCCCCCCCTCACTCCTCTCATAAAACACTACCATATATTTATCTTTATTCAAAATAAACGTCTATACGAGATTTGTGCCCTAAATTTAGGCCCCACGTTTCGTGGTAGGGCCTCTATTAATTTATTAAACAGTAACGATCGCACGCGACTTCGTAACAGTTTTAGATCATCATTGTTTTATGTAATTGAATTGTTAAACAAGATGGTAGATGGTAACCGTCGTCTATACATGAACAGTACTACGGACATCACGTTATCATTTAATGTGTGTGATACAATTGATACACTCGTGATACAATTGATGTGTTGATGTTACACCTCATCATACAATTTTTTTTGTAATTGTTGCAATGATTGAGTTTTTTTTGTTTGTTTAATGTATGTTTTAGTTTTTTTAACATCTACTGAATAAATATCATTTCTTTTCATATTATAAATGCAAAAGTTTGTGGGTATAGATATATGTTACTCTGTCACGCAAAAACTACTAAACGGATTTTGATGAAACTTTACAACAATATAGCTTATACGTCAGAAAAATACACGTTCCTCTTGAATCACTCTATTATTGAATCTGTGGCGTAATTTTAAAGATCTAAACGTACAGAAAGTGAGAGTGTCTTTGTTTTATACTGTGCAAAGATATTTTGATTTTGTTCATGTCTCGTCTGCATTGGTGCAATACTTACATACTAATAATATAAATGCAAATGTAACTCGGTCTGTCTGTCTGTCTCGCT